AAAAACGGATAGCAATAGGTCACCTGAGTTTACTCAGGTGACCTAAAAATGATATGAATGGGCAGGGTAATTGATATCAGTATGAGTCATGAAAATGTTTATATATCGAAGAGCTTTTAGTAAGTGGCGCTAAAAAAATCTAGCATTAAAATTTGCATATTCGCCACAGCATAATCGCTGCGAACCCGATGTACAATAAGGACATAGTAAACTTGCTGAAGAGTAAATATGTTTTTGTTTTTTTTTTAAATACATGCAGATTCAGTCTTTTGTATTTTTTTTTAAATCTTTGATGGAAAGGAAACATAGCACTCGAAGTTTAATTTATATAAAAACAGTATAACAGGTATCAAAATATAAATATGCTAACATAAAAATAGAAATCGACAATTAATGAAATTGATATTTTTAAAGTTAAAAAAAAAAAAAGAAAAGAAGGGGGTATATATCTTACCCACTTCTGCTCCTAGACTTATTGCGGGATTTTGTACAAAGTATTTCTTTCTGGTATAAACCTATCATTAACTGTCAGTAGAAAGTATATGATACATGTATATTATTTGAATTGATCAGTCAGCAGTCAGCATTGATCAGTCAATTCTCCGCGCTTGCGCAGGATTTCATCTAGTCCATTTAATATTTAAACATCATATTATTATCTATAATATTCGACATTTTAATTTATTGGATCTATTTTACTTGCATGAACAGATGTATTATACTGTTCATTCTATGGTCATCATATGCATAGAGTGTACCTTCAATACATGAATATTATATCCTTTTCTCTTTCCTTTTTTCTGCATTATGTGTTGTTATTCTGTTAATATATTTTACTCTGTTTTGCTCACTAAAGCTATATTATCTAACATTTGCTGATGACAAATAAATTTTGAAGTCCTTAATTCCTGTAATATGTACCATCATTGTTTATTATTCATTCTATTTATACGCTAAAAAGAGAAATCAATATGAATATAACAAGCAGTGATGAATCCTGTATATCCTAAGTTTGTAATAAGCAATACGAATCCTGAACAGGGCAAAAGTACAGACACCTGAAACACCAGAGGTGGGATCAGGTGCCTTAGAGGAGTAAACATCCCTGTCGATCGCCCAATAGTCAGTCCTAAATTCTGTAAGTACTCTAAGAGATATTGCCTAACAATTGGATGAACACTTATTTGTGAAAATCGCTCTAACTATATATTATGTTCGCCAACAAAGTCATTATTACGACTAAAGAATGCTATGTTACATCAAATTATCTGTCAGTAACCAGCCTCAGTTAAAATGTGATCGTTCACAAGATATGCACTTCCGTACCAAATCACTCGGAGGACTTAAACACCATATTCAAATTAAAATGGAAGACATAATATACATGTATTACAACATAAATAGGGGAAGTCGATTATTGCAATGATGAAGTTGTTCCGTCCGTGACATTCAGATAAATGTTATTAATTGACTATTTACGGCTTTTGTCGAAAAAAAATGAATATTATTACCAGACTCTGAGGAGTCTATACTTTCGAGTTAATTGGGATACCGATTGGAAAAAATCTCTTGTTATTGAAAAACGGAATTGTCATCATTATATCAATATGTGGAATTCAGAACACGGCAAGAGTTTTTGTCTTCTCATGTAGCTGTTTTTCGTCAACACAAGGTTAAAAGATATTTGTCTTTGAAAAAAAAATTGACAGATTTGCGTACTTTAAAGATGAAAATTGATTCATATCAGATATCTCAGAGTGATTAAAAAGATTTCTAGTTAAAAGATTTAATTATTTATCGTATTTTTTTTTCTTTTGATCTTTTGAGGTTTAAATTACCAAATAAGAATTCCTAAAATACATAAGCATTTTAAATTTCGTTTTTCTTCTTTCAGCATTTTTTTTTAGTTGATGGATGATTTGAAGTACATTATAACATATTCCCATTTATCTACTTTTGAATTCTTTCCCTGAAATAGATAAATGATTTTAATTACAACATCCAGCTATGCCTGACGACTGTTTTTATACCAACATGCAGGAAGAAAAATATTAAGGAAGCATTCATATACCAACCAATTTTCAGAATTGCTCAATACATTTAAAGTTAAGATTTTTAAAGGACAAAATTAAAGAAAATTAGTAAATTTCCGTGGCCTATTTTGATGGGTTTAAGCTGAAACTTGTGAACATAAGGAGGTGTTTTTCATCTTATCTAATGTTCTTCATATCAAATTTTCATTTATCATAAGAAATATGTCCTATGTGATAGAAGGAATATTAACAGCCCATGTGTTCTCATACTTTATGTGTTTTGACGTATTATATGTCCTCAACATGTACACATAAGGTACAGATTCGTGTGTTCAATACTGGTGATTTTAACAGACAAATATAATGTAACAAACAAACTGAAGCAATGTCATACGGTACATGTATATGCACCCAAAATGTTTCGTTTGCAGGTGTATTCTACCTAAAGCTCTTTAAAACAAAAAAAAAAGGAAACAAAATGATAATAACGGCGTGTATTCCGCGCTTTATGCAAATGTTTGTAATTTTATTTTATTGGGGGGGGGGGGTCTCTTTGTTTCCCCGAGTTCATTTAAAGCATTACGTAATCCGGTTTTCAGCGTGTACTTGCAGTTTCTGATGTAAATGACAGATACTAGTCATGCTAGTATATAAAACGCTTTGGGAAGAGTTTTAGCCGATAACCGTCAAGTCAATTACTAGTAGTGGAACAAAGGATAAAAAATCTAAGGAACAAAAATATAAAAACAAATTTATTCCATAGAAAATTTATCTAAACATTTGTAAAATTTAATGGGAATTGTCACTACTTGGCTAGGAAATAGCTTTAATGTATTGCAATGGATGCAATATTCCGAAAGATTTTAAAACATCTCGAAGAACTGTTGGAGTTTTGGACATAATGCTTAGGACGGATCTTAAGCATTCAACTGATAGTTATAAATAACTGGTAACCCCATCAGGACTCTAACCTGGACCTGCTTGGGACTCGGTGGCTCCTAGATCCCTCCCTTGCCTCACTAAAAATTTGAGCCAAGTGACGGCCTTGCCAATTCATGCCCTTGAAATGAGTGACTATTAAATGTGAAATACATAAAAGCTTCAATTATGTATGATGATAGCAAAATCCATTACTAGAATTGAAAGAAGGATGACTCTTGCAAACTTCAAATGCTTCACAAAATCCGAATAAAAAAAAATGCCAAAAATGCCTGTAACTTCATTTTTTTTATGTGAAAATTTTTACAGATTAATGTGTAAAAATTACAGATTAAAGTGTAAAATTTACAGATTAAAGTGTAAATTACAGATTAAAATGTAATTTTTTCAGATTCATGTGTAAAATTTACAGATTAAAGTGTGGAAAATGAAAAATTTTAAAAAAGTGTCCAAGTAGCACTAAAACGCTTCCGAAGGAATACCATTATTTAATGTTGAGTACATATCATAATTAATGTAAGAGAATAAAAAGCAAGACTCAGTTGATATCATCGTTTTGTTGATCGACTGACGAGAAGAAAAATAAAGAGATATATCACCTGCTTTAAAAAAAAACATACCTGCCGCATTGAATTTTGAAATTTTTACCCTGAGAAACTAAAGACTTTTTTGGCCTATTTCTTCATAAGTTTCGTATAAATGTTCATCTGCAGCTTTTTTATGAATGATGAACAATGCTACAGCCAGAAAACACTAATCATTATGTTTTCTCTACACTGTAAAACTTGTGAGGATGTGACACTCTGCAATCTGGTGTGGAAATATAAAAATTAAAATTAAAATATTACATTGTACAATATCAAATTAATTTTGATTACTTAACACCAAATTAATTTTGATAATAAGAGCTAGCCAACAAGAACATTTTAATTTGACAGATGCTATCAATTGCTATTAAGAGAACAGATTCCTCTGCCAAATTCCCAAGAGATATAGATGACAACAGAAATGATTAAGACAGTTTTCTTACACTGCTCATTATTTGATCTCTGGCTTGACAGGTACAATGGTTGTCTCTAATCAAAATGCTCCTTGAAACACCATTGCTTGATATTACACCCATGGGATGATTGGAATTTCTTTTGTTATTGAAAGAAAACAAACATTATATTTTTAATATATAGTTGTACAGTATATCATTAAAAAATGTGGGTTTTTTTCTTGATTTAACATTGTTAATAAGGTTACTGCAATATTCCTACATCAGTAGGGACTTGTAACTTAAAAACATTTTTTTTTTTAATGTATCCTTAATTATAGTTCACAGTGATCTTTATGTATGGTGTGAAACACCTTCTACCCAAGATGCATTTGATGATTAGAGGACTAATAGTTTTCAAGTTATGAGCCTAACAGGCTATTATCATATTAGGCCATATCATCTAAATTAAAGGTCACATTGACCTATTTCTAATGTGCAATACACCCTCTTCCAAAGATATATTAGGTGATAAAGTTTGATTGTTACAGGCCTCATAGTATTAAGTTTAAAGCCGGACACAATAAAGCAAACAGATGGACAGACAGAGAAACATGAACACCATACCATAATACGACCCTTCTTAAGATGGGCGTATAATAATACAATAGAGTAGGATATCACCCAAATCATTGTAAACCTTTCATTAATGGAAGTAGAATTCCAAAAGATTTAAATGCCTTAACTGATATTTCAGCAAGCTATGTACGTAGTAAACTTTTCAAACTAGAAAATGCTTTTGCATTTACAATATTTAAGGTCACACTACTATTACTTATAAGGTTCTTTACTGACTGTCCACAAAAATGTGGTGGTTGTTCTTGTCCATGGAAGGCACAGCGAAGCTAAACACTTTTATTATAGTTGCCATATCTCCATTATGTTTTCATAACGGATATTTTTTTTTTTGGGGGGGGGGGGGTGGTTCAATAAAAAAAATATTAGAAAACCAGTTGCTTTTCAATCAAGCAAACTAAGACAACAAGAAATTCTCTAACTTCATTATTTTATATCATCTAATATGAAATCACAGTATACACATTCACAACAAACATGATTTATGAGATTAATGCAGTCTGTGGTAAAAATAAAAACATTCAATATCAAAACAGATGATGTCCGTTATTTTTCACCTACAATATACACTGATCTGTGATCTATCTCTAAGTTTCTCTTGATGAAGAACACAATATCAGTTCACAGATTATTGTAGACAAGTTGTCTCCCTTTTGCACTCAGCATGGTCAACATACAATATTAATGTCTGTCTGAATTCAATTTTCACTCACATCTTTCTTCAGATATACTCAGTGTTGATATAGAACTTTTCTATGAGTCAAATTTTCCCAGGATATCTCCATCCCGAAATAAAAAGTACTCCTGTAAATGAGAGTGTCATGAATATCAGGTAAAAAAAGAATTCAAAAATATTCTCTCATTTTTTCAAGATACAAGAAAATTTAATGAAATTTCTTACTACATATATTTTAAAATCTTTTCATTAAAGCTCTCTCATATAAAATTATGATGGCAATGTGTATTCACATTAAATGCCAAATTTCCCATTTTTATACATATATACCATCACTTACTTTTTCATCAAGGATGACTTTAGTGCCTCCGTACTCAGGTAAAAGAACTTGATCGCCCACCTGGACACTGATGGGAACAATGTTGCCTTGCTGTAAAATTTGTGAAATAAATCTATTATTAAATCCCCACACTTCCATCAACAGATTGCTGAATGACATAAGCGACAATATAAAATTATCAATATGAAACCGCTAGAAGCTTCATATAGACATTTCCAGTATACATGAACCTTTTTAACTTGTTTACGGTTTAATAGTTTAAAATATACATTTAAACAATGCCTCTATTTCTATATACTGTGTCACAAGCTGTTAAAATAAGTCTTTAAAAATTCCCTCTTTGCTTAACAACCCCCCCCCCCCTTTTCTTTTTTTCCCTCCCAAATCTGTGCCAAGTTAATTTAACCCTTGGTCTACTTATACTGTCATACCTGGTCCCTGACCCCATTTCCTGTTGCGACCACAGTGGCCTGAAGCACCTTCCCTTGGGATTTCTCTGGCAGCATGATCCCTCCTTTTGTTTTCAATTCTGGTGCAAACCTCTCCACCAGGACTCGGTCAAACAAAGGCAAGAATTTTTTCAAAGCAGAGGCCTACAGAAAAAGATCCAATCCTTAATTCACAACATTTATCTAGATACAATGCCATGTTTCTTTTTAATTTTTTTTTTTCCTTCATAAAACTGAAGGGTTAAACGTAATAGGGACATTTTTTTGGTTTTGTCACATTCCAAGGGTTGCAAATAACACTAAAAACTTTAGGGGTCATTTGTGCCCCCAACTTGAAAAGTTTTACTAACCCACAATATTAGTTATGTTGACACTTAGAGGAGAAATACGGAAACATATGGGGTCCTTGAAAAAATGCATATTGGGCAAGGCCTAAGCTGAGCCCAATATGCATTTTTTCAAGGACCCCATATATTTCTGTATTACCCCTCGAAGTGTCTACATGACAAATTTATCCTTTTGAAGATTTTTTTTTTATGAAGTTCATTTCTCTCTGAGTTAAGCAAACTGTTCTGTAACAATTGTTTTACACTGTGACGTAGTTTGATGCTTATGTGATGTCAGTTATTAGGCTCCTTGTGTGTTCAAATGAAAACATGTTGAATAGGTCTGGACAGAATGGCACATGGACAGGAGGGTGCATATTGATTTGATATGTGGTGGGTAGGTCACATGGAGGGGGCACATTAACAATATATAATGTCGGGAGGCAGCATAATATGGTTTAATACAGTATTCTCCTCGACTGATGAAATTTCAAGATTTTTATCTGAGGCAGGATAATGATATTTTAGGGCCTACAATTTCCTCTTCACTAGTATCTGGGTAAAAAAAAATCTTGCTCTTTTTCTATCATAATCTCAGAGAAAAATACTTTGCTGTCCTCAGTCTTTCATTTTAATTTTTCTTGTGGGGTTCAGCACCACTTGTATGCTGAAATATCATGTTTTCATTCACTGCATGACATGTATTTTAAATCATGTGTTTCTATCGTAGAATTACAGAGAGCGTCCTTTACGGACTTTTAAAATTCATAAAGTGAAATATTTTTACCCACAAAAAAAGATAGAATATTCTATTATTAAAATGATATTGTCCTTCGGACCTGGTATGGTGACGGCTTATCCCAAGACACGTACAGTTTATTCTAACTAACATAGCGGCAGCAAAAAATCAGAAAATGTCTTCAATTTACTTATTTCAAGAGGAAAATTAAGGAATATAAAGCTGCTAATTGTGAAAAATACAGTGACTGTGTGCATATTAATACTATATGAACGAAGACCCGCTACCGCTGATATATAAAAGGAAAATGAAATAAATGTTGAAGGAATTGAAAACTGTTAAATATAAACCTTCGAGATGAAATTCCCAACTTTTTCAAAGAATTATAAGATAAACTGCCTGCCCAATAGGTAATGGAATTTATTTTTTAGTCTTAGATACTATACATTCTTGAATATCGGTATGCATCCATATATCGATGTATTTACATTTGCTGTGCTTTTCTACTAAGCCAACTGTGAAATTGATTTGAAAGCCATTTTTGTGTAAACTGCATATATATAGAAATATATGCAGAAAAACTCGCACTAAAGTGCTACAGAGACGTTAATAAAAATATGACGATATAAGGCAGCAAGAAGTTGAAACATTCAGTATATTTTTGGTGCATTTAAACATGTAAAATGTAAATATAAGCGCTTCATGAAATATACCTATGTGACAAGTCTGTGTGATTTACATACAAATAAGTCGCACAAAACTTTAAAACATTCCTTAAATACTGACACAGCCCTACTGATTTCACAACTATTTTTAAAGCAAAGGACTACAAGTTATAATTTTGATGTCTATTTTTATAAAAATATGCGTTTTAATACAAAGCCAAAACACATACAATAAAATACTAAATTTCTAACATTAAGTAAGAAAAGTACACTAGATCTGCATATGTGTGCATCCAGGTTATTGTCTTTAGAGAAATGGACAGGTTTTAGTCTTCATCCACTTCTCATTGCACCCCTTCATGATATTGATTCTGAAAAATCTGTAAATGTTGAACCGGTGATGACCTACACTTCAAATGACAACTGAAAATGTGTCTGAATTAATTTACATAACAGCTGTATTGTATCTACAACATATATATATATATATATATATATATATATATATATATATATATATATATATATATATATATATATATATATACATACACATATTACGCACACATTTATCACAAGAAAATCAACATATACTCATTGTTATTCCATCCCAGATTTAAGCAAATGTTTTATCTACCACAGCTTTAGAAAATGATTGATAATTCCAAGCTGAACAGTTTGGTAAAGTTGGTATAGACATACCTTTTGTTGTTCAAAAATAGTTTATGACAATTTACTTTCGATGAAACATATTATTCTATGTCATTATTATTTATAACATTTATTTTTTACTATTTTAATAAAATTTACATGTAAAATTGAGCATTAAAAATTAGCTACTTTATTACTTTCATTATTTCAATATGAAAAATCTTTTTCTTTTATTCTTACATGATATTAACTCTGCCTTTTCAAAGAAACAAGAAAAGAATTTTAAACAAACATCAAAACAATTTGAATATGTGAGGGTATACTGCCTCGTAAAATTAAAGTGAATAAACTATTTCTCTATTTTTTCCCATTTTAATGTTGTAAAAATATTTTCAGTTTTAAATGAATGAGATTCTTTAATCTGCCAAGAGTAATACTTGCTCATAATTTAAATCCAGGATGGAAAATGTGTGAAAATGGATTAACAACGAGTGAGTGCTGGTTTTCTTGAGATTAATGTGCACACATTTATGTTGAAGTTGTAAAGATTGCTATGTAAAATCATTTTAGGCGAAATGTCAGTTGAAGTGTAGGCTGCCATCGGATTGACATTTATGTTTTTCTAGAATCAAAACATGGCAGTTTGCCAAGAGAAGTGGATGAAGGTTACATCCTGTTCACTTCTCTAAACGGAATACATGTACAATATACATCCAGGTAAGTACTGTACTTAAGAAAGTAAACACAAAAAGTGTAAATGTCACTGAATTTTCTTTTATGTATTTTGTTATTGGCTTTGACATATAGAATTTGAGATAAAACTTATTAATGGTTAAACTTGTTGCATTCTTGAGATCATGGTTGCACTCGGAGAAAATTCGAGATATACATGTGCTCTCTGTATTATGCAAGAGTAAGTAAAACTTCCATAAAAGATGCAAATACATAAAAATCTGGGATCCCATTTAATGTGAGAAAGTTAAATGAACTGTTATCAACGACTGCTTGTACCTCTCAATGTCAAATGTTGCATCACTTAAAAATAATTAATGATTCCTCCCTCCTCATTAACTACATTACCAGATCCATTTCTTTTCAAGAACCTGAATGTTGTAGCAGCAAGGTAAAAATTTAGTAGCAGACGAACTTTGCTAAATATTCGTTTCTCTTTGTCACTGCATATTTTACTCACCATATTTAATCTGCAGCTGAGTTTCTCTCTCCCTCAAAGTCCCTGACCTCGGAAATGTCTAGAAATGAAACCACGTGTTGAGTTTACATTTATGCGCATGTGCAAATTTTCCGGAAAACACGAGGCTCTGCAAGTAGCTTTTATCAAAATAAATTGATTTTTTTCAAAATCTCAGAACGCAAAATGCAAACAATTATTTAAAAATGTTTTAAAAATTTTGACAGCAAATAACATTGTTATTTATATATGTCAATATCTTGAGTAGTAATAAGATATCACAATTGAATTCTTACATGCTAGGTGCGTGGCCTCCAAATTAGAAACCTTCCGAAGGTCATCCGAACGGATCCGGTCACAACTTCCAGAAAGCTAAGAGAGGTGAAACTGTCAACTTCAGTCGGCTAAAACATCCAGGTAAAGTGAATTTATGGTACAATTTTTATGTTGGGGCAAACATTCTGGTACTGAATATGTTAATAAACATAGTTTTTGCAACTATGACTGATGTGCATTGTTTCTTCAAGAATTAGAATTAAAATTGATGTAGCCCACGTGGGTAGCACGTTTCATCAGAAATGTATTATATAAGCGACCAACATAGCTGAGAGGAGAGTTCTTTGTTGACCTTTAGCAATCATATAGTGAGAAATTTTTTTTTATGGCGAACGATTTTGCGTCGTTTATTCCATTCAATCATCGTAATATTGGAAACTAATATTCTTGATTTGAAGGGAGAGGTTATTTTTTTAAATATTTTTTTGCTCAATATTTTGATGTAAGGACCTTCTATAATCTTTTTTTATAACGTTGATCTTTTTTCAATGTTAAGTACATACATGTATACCTAATCGTGGCTAATGTCATCATAATATGAAAATTTTAATTTTGCAACCAACACATTTCCCTTACAGATCTCATAATGTACAGACTGCCTAGCATTCTTCGAACATCAGTGGCGCGCCACTTCACCCCAACTTTTACACGAAGTTATGCTAAAGATGTCAAATTTGGAGCTGATGCAAGAGCTATGATGATTCAGGGGGCAGACACATTGGCTGATGCTGTTGCTGTTACAATGGGACCAAAGGTTTCATTTCTTCTTTGTTAACCTAATGCTTATCTTAATGAATTAAAACAAGAATTAAAAGTTCTGTAAAAATTTAAGGATATGTGCCAAAGAAATATTAATGATTTATGCATATATATGCCACCTATGGAACTTTAATTTCCCCATGATATTAGTAGGGGGAGGAATTTAAGAGAAAAAAGTTTCCCTTCTCAAGAAAACTAATAATTAAGGGGTATCATATATTCAGTATCATAGATTTTCCTTCAGTGATTAGTGGTAACTCATGCATGAAGATAAAACCAAAAAAGATATTTTTGAACTTCATTTATGATTTATTTGTTTTGAAGTATATTGCAGTGGGAGTCTCCCTCACAGAGTGGAAGGGACAAGGGTTGGGAGATATGACATGCCCAATTACTTGAATCATGAAGAGAGGAAGTTTAATTTTGAAATATTAATAGTTATTGTAAAGTATTTTAAGCGAACTCTTTATTATTACAGGGAAGGAATGTCATCATTGAACAAAGCTGGGGTAGTCCGAAAATCACCAAGGATGGCGTAACAGTGGCCAAAGCTATCGATCTGCAGGACAAGTACCAGAACATTGGTGCCAAACTTGTCCAGGATGTGGCAAACAATACCAACGAGGAGGCAGGAGATGGCACCACCTGCGCAACAGTCCTAGCCAGGGCCATCGCAAAGGAAGGGTTTGACAAGATCAGCAAGGGAGCCAACCCAATCGAGATTAGGAAAGGTATACTTAAATTTTACAGCAGTTCAAATTTTGAGCATCTAGATTTTCCTTGCTAAAGAGTACACTTTACCATCAAATAGAGAGCAGAATTTTCATTCTGAAAAGTATCATCCATGTAATAAATCTGGAGGGATATTGGCTGTGCACAGGCATAGATTTGATGTTAAAAGTAGAGATGAGATAACTGACTGCATCCTTCTTCGTCACATCACTGTTTATAGTGAACGTGATTGTTCGAAGATGCCATAGTAACACATGATCCTTTCGCATTGTGATTGACCTTTGTTGTCATGATGATAGAAATCATGTGACAGAATTCTTAGTTTCCATAGGGCCCAAAATAATTAATATATAGTCTTTTAGGCACGGCCACATCAGGTCAAACACAGTCTTATTAATCAATTTTATTGACATATTTAAAAGAGAAATAACTCTATTTTCTGTTTTTCTAAGTTGAGAAAGAAAATTGAGTTATGCCCCTTTTCATACATGCTAATAGAGAGACATTTTTATTACAGATATATATATACAATATATTTCTTGTTAAATGGTACATTATGAATTAACCTTTTTTGGGAGTTGATTTTATCAACTTCTCATAGTCAGCGCGCCAGAGGCGCATCAATACATACAAATGACAAACAGCTACCAAGGGGGTTTCCTCGATTAAATGCAGGATGTTGTGAAAATGGGAGAAAGGTTGAAATTAGAGTTTTAACCTACAAATAGAGCAGGGTGTAAGGATTTAAAAATGCAATGTATAATCTCAGTAAATGGCAGGCCTAAATACTTATGTAAGAAAATAGATTTACAGATATTGCGAATAAGAAAATAGTACATATATTCTAATTTTAAGATAGGAGCGATAGGAAACTCGCTCCTGAAATAGCTTAGATACGTCATTTTCATCAGTTTGTTGGGAAAGGCTGAAGATATTCTCGTGATTATAACAATGCATAAACACCATGCTTCGATAATACGAGTCCCATAATAACGGGATTAATAATCAGACATAAGTTTAAATGCATGTCGGTATATACAGAGAACGCACAATTAGATTGATACAGACAACTGATGTAAATGTTCATATGCGAGCAAGACTGATTATCACAGCGGGCATTATGTTCCTCCAGTATCTCTAACATGTGTAAAGTTCTAAAGCCACAGACAAGATCTCTAAACTGCAGCAGACGTGACCTACTTGACAAACTTAATTTAGCAGCCCTTTACTTTTGTGCCTAGAATGATAATTATTGATAGTATACACAGGATTAATTTTTATTAGATGTGTAATTGAGATGGCTTGTTTCATATTTTTATTTTTGCAGTAATATTAATGCTGTGCATGTAATCGTCTCAACTGTTACACCGGTGAATTAGTTCACTGTTGATAGAACGGAATTCGGAGTGGATCCAGAATTTTGCTAATTTTGGGCACATTGAGTATTTTGGGAGTGGAGTGGGGTGTTGAAATAGCCAATTTCCTTCTAAAACAAAACCGTGTGATTCGTATACATTTGCGAACAAAGACCAAATATGTTGCTTTGTTGTTTAATATACCTGTAATGAAATATTTCATCTCGCTGCAATCTTAGTTAGATTCCAGCGAAAAGTAAAAATAAAAAATAAAAATGATACTGTAACATTTAAAAATGAATTATGCCACGCAATAAGGTTTAATTTATAAACAAACGAAATTCATTTATATGTAAATACAGTGTTATGTCATATAGTGTATCTAAATACAAATATCTAAGTGTATCATTTCTCATGCTCTTATCTTTTGCTCAAAGTATATTAACTTTATCAAAAAAATTAATTAATTGATTAATTGTTAAAAAAGGAAGAAAAAATTCATAGTTTCAATAAATTTAGACATTAAAACCACTGTTCACTTTTTTGATCATTCAATTCACACTATTTTAATTATTGTAGGCCTATGCACATGGAATTTGGGTTTATTTTAATCCATTTACTAAAAAAACAAAATAGCATCCTTGGCGGTACAATAAACAGGATGTTATCCAAATCATTTTGTGATAAACTGAAATTTTGCAAATTAATACTTGGTGTACATAATTATGCAACTAGTTTTGCTGTACTATCTGAATTTGGTAGATTTCCCCTCCACTTCGACGTTGTAAGATCAAAGGTAAGCTATTGGTATAGACTTGAAAATCTGGTAAGTCTTTTCCACCTTTACAAGACTGAAGATGTATATTGTGAATCCAAGTCACTATGAAAAAGATGAAGATAACAGACAGTGATTGATCTCTAAAAATCTATAAAACAATACAAATCTGGAAAGAGGGCATAAATTTGAGAAGAATCTCTATTTCTGGTTTACATGTTGCTCCATTAATTTTCTCATCACCAATATAGATGGTGTTTGTCGTGATTTAACTTTGGTCAGAGTACATCACATGGTTAAATGCTGTACACCTTATTCATGAATTAATGACAACGTGACCGTTGCCAATGAATATTCATTATATTTGTGATATTTTTCAAAAAAAAAAATAAATTATGAATCTTTTTATAATGAAACATAAGTAATTACATGTATTTGATCGTATCCCTCATCGTATGACAATGATGAAGTTCAATATTTTCTCAGATAAAAAAAAATAACACAAAAAACCTGCATTTTCCCCACTGGGAGTGTTGTTCAATTTTTCTGAATTCTGTCTAAAACGGGATTTTCAGTTTAAAAGAAAACAACATCTGATTATATGTATCATAGAAACTGAAATTGCAAGTTTTACAACTTCACGCAAGATGAGGATGAAATCGGAAAATGACAAATATTTCTAAATTTGCTTGATAAAGACCTTGTAAGCTCTTTCATCACATTTTTTCTACATGAATATCGTTGTAATGAAGCTTCGCTTTAGATTTTCAAACTCGAAATAAACTTTCAACTTTTCATCATTTTGTAAACGAAAGATTGCATTCCGATACAGGACATAATAAAAGATAGAATCACATGAGGAAGAAATTATTCCGAATTGATATTTTTTAATCTATACTTTAGTTTTTCTTTTACAATGCAATGAACAAAAATCTGCCAAATTGAAAACAATATGGCGCCTATGCAAATTAGCAAAACGTACACCATTTCTCTATGTGTAAATTCAAACGTACACTTAAAAATCATTTATTCAAAGGTTATATATATATAGGAGCGGAATCAACAACTTGAATCACATTCTGACGAAAAAAAGTCGCTCTGGCACTTTTAAACAAATTTTTGGTAAGGAAAATACCCTAAATTACTGAAAAATTTTGAGCAATGAAGAAGTCTTACACGTTTTTGCATATCATTCAAAAGTTATGGTCAAATCAAAACAAGCCTTACTTTTTTGACTCCTTAGAATCGTGACTTTTTTTTTTTAGTCTTTTGATACTCGCATACCAAATTAAGAAGCAATAATGTTGTAAATAATTTGAAAAGCTGTAAACAAGGTCAAATACATAAAATTTTATTTGAAATAGTCCTTAAAATCAACTCCCATCAGTACCTTCAGTACTTTGATTTTAAAATGTTATTTAAAGTTGAGTATTATAACTAATACAAGAGTACAAAAAGTAAGAATAAGTTGATATCATCATTTTGTTGATCGACTGACAAGAATGAAAAGAAATAAGATCAGCTTTAAAAAAAAAAAAAAAAAAAAAAAAAAAAAAAAAAAAAAAAAAACTTGCCACATTGAATTTTGAAATTTTTTGGCCCGAGAAACCAAAGATAATTTTTTTTTTTTTTTTTTTTTTGCCTAAACAAGTGTTTTTTGTTTTTGTTTTGAAAAAACTTCTAATTTTTTGTAAACTTGATGATTTTTATTGTATGTTCCAGGTGTAATGACTGCTGTTGAAGTGGTGGTGGATAATCTGAAGAAAATGTCCAAAGAGGTTTCCACGCCAGAGGAGATTTCTCAGGTATGTGTTTAGAGCTGAACCAGGAAAGTCTTTAGTACTAGTTTGAATAGAAACTGGAGATGTTCCTTATTGGCTTGGAATTGTTCATTAATAAACCTATAAGGTAAAGAAAAGTCTTTCATGTTGAATTGCCTAACATTTTACAGGTTGCAACCATATCTGCAAATGGAGACAAAGACATTGGAAACTTAATTGCAGATGCCATGAAGAAAGTGGGAAGAGATGGAGTCATAACTGTTAAGGTAGATAGGAATTATTTAAGAGATGAATTCAGTTTTTGAGAATTCATGAAGACATGAACTACAACACTTCATGCCAGCATATTTCATGAAGCGTGTTAGCGCTTCATGATATATGCAGGCATGAAGCATTGTAGTTCATGTACCTCATGAATTCTCAAAAATTAAATTTATATCTTATATTTACATTATTTTTCTGATGACTTGCCACATATTATTGTCATTCAACAATCATTTTTGAAAAAAAAGGTGTGCACTATTTTTTTGACTTCAATCACATCACAATGGAAATATTCTTACTCCTCCCATGGTAGTTCATGAGAACATGAACTTTTTCTAATTTGCAAAGAATCTTAAAGAAAAGTATTTGGAAATGTAAATATCATCTTTTTACAGCTAATGAAGATGTTAATCTAGAATCCTTTTATCCAAGAAAAAAATATTTTTTTTGGTTTCAAGAAAGTGGACATTAATTTACTAATTCTGTTGACTAAATATTGGACTGATTATTAAGATTAATTCAATTTGGTTTATTATTTATAGGATGGAAAAACCCTTAAGGATGAGTTGGAGACTATTGAGGGAATGCAGTTTGACAGGGGATATATCTCTCCATACTTTATGAATTCCTCAAAAGGTTTGTTTGATCAACATTAGCTGTCATTTTCAGAAGGAAGATTAGCAGTCTACTGATAAAATAACAAGAATGACTTCTTTATGAAACATCAATAAAATTATGAATGGTTAATTTATATGTAGTGAGAAATGGAAAACAATTTCAGTCTAGGAAGACTACTAAAGACAGTTAACTTCAGATTTGAAAATAAGAATATGTTAATTAACTTCAGATTGAAAAAAAAAATATTGAAAGTGGCTTGGTTCACTTTATAACTTAATGTTGTTTTCTGATACAGTCTTCAATATTTTTTAGGAGCGAAGTGCGAGTTTCAAGATGCCCTGGTGTTATTCAGTGAGAAGAAGATTTCAACCATTCAGTCCATTATCCCTGCCCTGGAAACTGCTAACAAGGCTCAGAGACCCCTCCTTATTGTAGCCGAGGATGTCGACGGGGAGGCTCTTAGTGGACTTGTACTCAACAGGTATAATTTAAAGGTCATAAAATCGCCTTTAATCCTAATGTTGCACATAACTCATTCCTTAGGAGGCCATTTTACAGCCTTTTGAGATTACATTGTGCATATATTGATCTGTTGACCAAATTAATTTGCCTTTCTTGTGCATTGCTGATATTAATTTGGTCACCAACATGTCTGAATTTCCTGAAAATCTTAATTTATAATTGAGCATTTATTAATTAAATTATAATTATCATAATATGCTGATTAATGTCATACCTGCTCTTGTAGACTGAAGGTAGGACTCCAGGTCTGTGCTGTGAAGGCTCCAGGATTTGGTGACAACAGGAAGAATACTCTCAGAGACATGGCCATTGCAAGCGGTGGTATTGTAAGTGTTGAATACTATTGGATGGTATCTTTTGAATTCATCTTATTGTAAGTTAAATCTTGAGCATCATGTAAGTAAATATATACAGCAGAAATATATCATCCGATGTATATCTGTAATTCTTACATTGATGGTTGTAGGTGTTTGGAGATGAGGCAGATATGTACAAAATTGAGGATGTTCAGATGAATGACTTTGGCACAGTGAAAGAAGTTACTGTCACCAAGGACGATACACTCCTGATGAAGGTCAGTACCAAAAGGAGGTTCCACAAATGCTCTTAATTTTCACCTGCTTTCTCTCAAAAGTATGTGTGTTAAAAAGCTCAATGTTATGATAAGGAGCAAGAACACTGAAGAAAATTATCTTAATATCCCAATAGGGAGGTGGTGACAAGAAAGAGATTGAAAAGAGAATCCAGCAGCTGCGAGATGAGATTGAATTATCCACCTCTGAGTACGAGAAGGAAAAACTCAATGAACGCCTCGCCAAGCTGTCTGCAGGAGTCGCTGTTCTCAAGGTAAAATTTTAAGATCAGTAGGGGAAAGGGGGTGCATCCTTTCTTAATGAATTATACAGTAGTAGGTGTTAATTATTATGAAACTGCTTGTTGGAAATACTACAAACCCACTTTTATTTGCATGCAAAAAATAGCTGCAAGTTTGTTGAACTTATTCTACTTAAGAAATGAATTCAGTTTTGAAAATTCATTGAGGAGAATGTACTAGATGCTTCATGCAAGTGTGTGAAGCATTATAGTTCATTTACCTCATAAATTTTCAAAAATGAAAATATCTTTTATGTACATTAGTTATCTGATGACTAGCCACAAATTAAATCCTTGAACTATCATTATTGAATGGAAAGAAAAAAACAAAAAAATGATTGCACTATATCAGAGTTTTTGAAATCCACCAGTCCCACCAACAAAACCGGTAAATATTTCAAATGTCCAGTAATTTTCTTCATGTAATCAGTCCGAGCGACCGGTAAAATTTTTATCGACCTTTCCGGAATTTTAACCTCAACCTGTGGATGTTAAGTTTATTTGTGAGATCGTCAAAACGATTGAATCTGCGTGTATGATAGAATAAACTCAAGTTCTCTTAGGACAGTTAGTTTTTCACAAAATGGCGGCACCATTTCGGTAAAAGAAAATCAGACCCATTCAAATTACCCCCAGGTGGATTTTTATTCTACCATATCTATGTTTGTTCAAACAGCTGATTCAATTTATACAAAAAATGTTAATTGTAGCTTTATTTGGGACATGACATATGTCAACCTAATCATCATTTACCGTAAATATAAAAAGTTATCATTATTGTTACATCAAGCATTTCCCCTGCAACATTTAGAAGCAAGTTCGTTTTCTGCGCTAGACAGGCATGTTTGGTGTCTACTGTAAATATCACACCTGGTTAATTCAGTCCGGGGATGTTTGTGCCTATTACTCATAAGCAAAAAAAAACAAAACAAAAAAAACGACCTACCGACCCTTGATTTTTTGGGAATGTTACAGGAAACAAACAATTTTTTAAGGCCTAACTGGAATGAAAACAATTTCTCAAGTTTTTGATTTTTTTTTTTTAGTATCTCAATATGTATGCTGATGGTCCAGTGAATATTTGTGTGGACCAGTGAATTTCACTAAATCACTGGTCCACTTGTGAATATTTTTTTTATTTCGAAAAACTCGGCTATATTTTTGATGTCATGGAGATATTTGTGCTCATCCATGTGAGTTCGGGAGGAAATGAATTAAATTCCTATTTGTAAAGAATCTTAGGGAAAATTATTAGAAATGTAAATATTTGTATGATATGCACCAGCTCTACACCAGATGATGCTACTGTAATCATTTGGCATGTACTTTGGTGCTACAGTGATTATTTGTACACTTTCTTGATAAAACTACCACAGTTTATCAAGCATTACGCAAATGACACAAAAAAAACTAATTTTTTTTTATTTCCTGCACATTAATTTGCAAATGTAAACACAGAAAATGTAGAAGATTTGTGGATTGTGCATATTTGTTACAAGTAAGTGGTAGATTTTGTGTTAAATATTGATTGTGTTAATACTTGTCGACAGATTGGTGGATCTAGTGAGGTGGAAGTCAATGAAAAGAAGGACAGGGTGAACGATGCCCTCTGTGCTACAAAGGCTGCCATAGAGGAGGGAATTGTCCCCGGGGGTGGGGTCGCTCTACTCCGCAGCATCAAGGCACTGGAGAATGTAAAGGGAAATAACAATGATCAAAGTACAGGTAAACAAAGTGTGCTATATATAGAAAACATCAGTGGCTGTAAAAAAAATTTCAAGCTTTTTCTTACTTTTCAAATAAATTTTCAAAATAGCAAGGTACTGAAAAACTATGTATATTTCAACCTTTTCATTTGTAACATTTTCAAGTGATGGCTGCTGGTATTACGATGAATTTTTCTCCCTTCAGGTATTGAGATTGTGAGGAAAGCATTACGTTTACCAACTCTAACCATTGTTTCTAATGCTGGATTGGACCCGCATCCTATTGTAGAAAAAGTTCTAAGCAATGAAGGAGACTTTGGATACGATGCTTTAAACAATGAGTTTGTGAATATGATAGAAAAAGGAATTATTGATCCTACAAAGGTGAGATGTGTGGCAAAAAAACAAAAAACAAAAAAACAGAATAAGAGCTCATTGACTTGTAAACTAAAGTTTTCTTTTAAAATTGCTGTTAAATGAATGAAGCTATGCCAACAAGTACTTCTAATTTATCAGTAATTTTATTTTTATGTAAACTTTATTCATAAAATTATCAAGTTCTAGCAAAGAGATTCCTCTTTTGAATTAAAACTAAAAGAAATTGTGCTTCGTTTCTTTCAGGTGGTCAGAACAGCAATTGTAGATGCGTCTGGAGTTGCATCCCTTTTATCAACAGCTGAAGCAGTAATCACGGAAATTCCTAAGAAGGAGGAGCCTATGCCAGGTGGCATGGGAGGTATGGGCGGAATGGGTGGTATGGGCGGGATGATGTGATGATTGACAGCTCAGAGACAAATCTGATTGGCTGAGATGTGATAGTGTCATTATGAAGGACATAAATGTGTTTTTATGATAAATATTTCATTTTGACAAGACACTGAAAACAAATATGGCCAGGGGTTGACCTTGCGTTGTGAAGGGCATTTTTGAAGACTAAGACTGACAGAGTGCATCTGAAAGAAGAAGCTGGAAGACTTCTCATGAATACCTGCTCCTGTTCAGTTTTTCATTTTATATAATTTCTGCTTAACATTAATCTGCTTTTTTTCCCACAGTACTAAGAACTGAACAATTTTTTTTTTATTTCTGTCAATTGCAATCATTAGAGTTGATTTTTTTCGACTTAATGAATTTATATAAAACTTTTATAAGTGATCATAAATGTGTTCATCTTGCCACTTGAAGCATCTCCCTTATCTGCTATTCTTCAAAAGCATGCTCCTGCATGAATGACCTATCATACATTCTACATTATGTAACAATTATTTGGATGACCAATGCCAGATATGATTGTGTGTTATTAGAGATTTTACTATTATACGTTAGAGGAATAAGTGTTGTATGTTTGATATTTGTGATACTGAGTGAAATGATTTGAATCATTAAAATATACTTTGTAAAATAAGATATCTTGCTTCATTGTTGTAATATAGTTTGTTTAATATACAAAGACATTGAGTTTTGGCACTACGTTTTGTTACCAGTAGGAAATGACTCTGCAATCAAGCGTGTACATGTACTATATATGCTCGTTTGGCTTGTTTGATTTGCTGATCCTTGGGTCCACATCAAACATATGGTGAATAAGGCTATCTCCCTTCTTCAAATGAACAAAGCATCCACAAAATTGATATTTTTGAAATTCTGTGGATCTGAAACCACAGCAAGGGGTTCCATTTTGGATTTACTGGGTGCTGAAAGCAAGGTGACTGTTTATAAAGATCTCTCTAAATTGAAAGTGACAACTCCAACAGTCTTCAGACTTTTTTTTTTATAGAGAAGCTATGTACATGTAGTATAACACTTGACACAAGAACCACATTTCATTCTTGAAGAAGTTGGTTCTGAAATGGAGTTAATTATTACGTCTCAAAATAGAGAGTGATGATTTCCAACAATTTTGGAATGAAATTGTGAAATTCAATGTTCTATGAAGTTACGAACTACATTTACGCACAAATTAATACATAGATGTATTAAACTCCTTTTCAGTCCTTATTCATATTTTTTAATTGCTGCCTACAATTTCAACAAATTTGATGTTTGGAACTTTCAAACTGATGGAAGTGTTTACTAGAAGTTTTGACATTGGAGTTTTACAATTCTGAGAATTTTAAACCTAAATACTTTGTAACAGTCTTTTTACTAAAAAGATTGTTACAAAGTAATGGGATCGTGATAGGGCCATTTAGTTCATTTTGCAACAGTGAGCATCAACTAAAGGGTTGATGGTGGGATATTGCGATGGCACTATGACAAAGAAGCCATGGCACGATGACGGTGCGATTGTGTGATGATGATGATGATGCAATAGCACGACAATTTGATGACAATGGAGTGATAGTGAACTTCGCTGCATTATGGAATCCTGATAGGACCACGAAGTTAACCATTGCAAGATGACACCATCAAGGTTTGGGTCGATAGTGCGATGACAAGATAATGCGATGATGATGAAGTGATGGTGTGATGACAATGAAGATATGCTTCCATAGCATGTTAAAGTTGACAAGATAATGTGATGATGATGAAGTGATGGTGTGATGACAATGAAGAGATGCTTCCATAGCGTGTTAAAGATGCGATGATATGACAATGCGATGACGATGCTATGGCATGGTAAAGCGATAGCGCAAATGTGCAATAGCGTTGATGATGGCACCATGACGAATCAATATTCACAATGGCTCCATCGTGCTATCGCACCATAACCATGGCATTGTTGCATCATAATCATCGCGCTATAGCACCATCGCTTCATTGTCATCGCTTTCCATGTCATCAGGCTATTGCATTATCATGCCATCAACCCTTTGATGTGACAATGAACTACGTGGTCCTATTCGAATGCATTACGAAAGGTTATGAAAGGGCCATGTTTTTCACTATTGCATCATTGCACCATCGAGGTAAGGGTTGATGATGTGAAAATGCGATAACAGTGAAGCTATGCTGCGATGAAGATGAAGTGATGGCGCGACAGTACAATGAGAATGATGCGCTGGCGCGACAATGCGATGGCAGGATAAATCTATAGCGCTGACACGATGGAGCGATGACGATGATGCGTTGGCACGACAATGCGATGGCACGATGAAGCGATAGCGCTATGACGTGATGGTGTGATGACAATGGTATGATGACACGATAGAGCGATGTTCACTATCGCTTCATCGTGCTATGACACTATCGTCATCGAATTGTCGCGCCACTGCATCATCGATATCGCGCGATCGCATTATCGCCCCATCGACCATTTAGTCGATGCTCGATAGTGTGATAGTGAACTACATGTACGTGACCTTATCCGGGTTCCTTTCACAATAGATTGATTCACATCAGTTTGATTTTTGTACTGTTGGCAATATTTTTTTTTTTTTACTAAATCCATTCTCTTCATTCATTTTTTTTTCTCAGGAAGGCCCTTATAATTTATGTACTCAAGAATGATTTCTATCGATTTTGGATGTTCGGTACGAAATGTATTAAAAGTAGAAGGAAGTAAATTAAAGGACACAAGACCTTTTTTTAAAGAAAAATATGATAAATTAATTACAAATTACTGGAGTAATAACACTTTCATTATGGTACCTGTACATGCACTGCATGAAAATTTGGCTTTACAAAACAAGTAAAGATAATGTAAATTTATTATTTACAATGCCTTTAATTGGCTTTTCTGAAAAAAGTCAAAGTTGGAAAAGGTAACCTTTACATTGACTTTACATGCACTTAAATATGATGTAATGTCCCACTTTTTCTTGACTTTACAAAAAAGTAAAGTTAATATTTACAAACATTAAACACAGTATTTGGGGTTCATTAAAGCTGATAATTACAAATCTTAAATTTAATTAAATACCATCTTTAATAGCCACAAAAGTTAATAATTACTTTTTCCATTCTTCTGAATAAAGCTTGTGCATATAATAAATAAGCTTTTCCTTCCAAATTGAAACTGCAAAAGAAGTCTGGACATCATACTTAATATACAAAGTAACAACAGATTGACTTAAACTTTCTTTATTACTATACCAAACATTTTTATACAAACATATAATCAAAAACATCAAATTTCTTGACAGTATCTGTTGTTCATAGTCTATCCTGCAAATCCAATACACATAAATAAGTATCCAGGACAGAGTACACTTCACCAAAGTCCTTTTCAAACATGTCATTTTGTTTTGTATAAAGAACCAATTGTTCATCCTTGAATTTAAAGATTTGAATTGACATGAAACTGTGCTCTGCTTTCTTGTTACTGAACATGCATTTCTGTGGAAATCAACAACTGTCCAAATATATATTTTGTCACATCTTCCTTTTCAGAGTCCAAAACTTTTATTCTCATGCAGGCAGTCTTCTATCGTTTTCCTTCAAAGAAAAAAAAAATATATATATATTTTCAGTGACATGAATATGAATATTTTCATAGGCATCTGTGTTATAAATTCAAATAAACTGTGATATCAGTATTCACAGTATCATGACTAATGAAAATTGAAACAAGATGCAACCATATTAATAAATAAAAATTTCATACATGACCTTTAACCTCAAAAAGAAAATATTTTGAACCATTAATGTCAGTCTTTATTTTTACCAAAAAAATGATGCTAATCTTATTAAATAAGACAGATACAAACAGATGAACATGTTGTTATTAACTTATTTTATAATATAAATGGACTGGGCCACTAGCCCTTATCTTACCCCTAAGATTAAAATTTAATAACTCTGTAATTTCTTTGTTTATCATTACCTAATTTTTCTTTTGAAAGGATTATTTACAAAATATACTAATGTAGGAGTAATATAAGATTTCTCGTGACCTTCTGTAGCTAAGATACTTTTGCAGAATTGGAAAATGTTTGTCTTACTTGCAAGATAATTTGTGAAAAAGTACTGGCATCAGTATCTATGGATAATTACTGAACACATATAATTAACTCCATTTTCCTTCTTAGTAATCAGGTAACAAAAGGACCAATAGTTGCTGCTTATCAAGCTATAGTATGATACTCTAGTTATGGTTTAGGATATATGTACCTTTCTCCCAGTAGCATGTTGCTGCTCATGAATTATTTCCTGATCTTGGAATTCTAAAAGTTGACAGATCCCTCATTTTGAAGATAACATGCTAAAATGGAATTCATACTTTGATAAAAATTTCATACCTCTGGATAAATATAGTCAATGTTTTCATAAATACTTTGGAGTTTGAAGCATACCAAAGAATGATTTTAAAAATACACAATGCAATCACAGTTAATAGTTATGAATTGCCAAACACCCTTATGTTTGTTTTCTTCACAATTAAAGAATACTTTAGGTCTAAGCAATACTTGCCATCTATAAAATTAAACTATTGAACCCTTCTCAAGCGTTTCTTCTTCTTGAAAGATCTGTCAATAAGGTGTTAACTCTCACAGTAAGCTGAGTAGATGGAGCCTGGAAAAAGTAGTAACACATTTTTTGAAAACAGAAATGTATAATTATACTGACTCTCGAACAAGTCAAGCAATTGATAATGTAAATAATTGTTTAAGTAATATTTTAATGATACCATTTATTGATTTTTTTAAAACTAATACGTACAAGTACCATCAAAAAACATTGGTATCCCTTGGTCTGGTAAATCATACATTGTTGTCATCCATGATTTTTTTCCTTCAAGAACCTGCATAATTGATTTCACTGTACCTGTTTCTGAAAAAATGGACATGGTTTAGAATACAAAATAATATCTATAAAATATAACCTAACTTGCCCTCTATTAAGAACATTGCCCCTATTTTTTTTTTCTTCTAGCATTAATGTTCTAAAACTGTGACCTAGAATTGTTTTTTCTTGGTCTTGTTTAACCCATGATCCTTTACAGAAAAAAATGGAACATTATCCCCAATTTATCAAGTTACTTATCTAAAATACATATTTAGCGTAGTTTTTCCTGACTTTCATCAGTTTCAATGTTCCACAATGTATGCTGAAAACAGATGGAAAACGTAAACAAACCTGCACTGCAGTGCATGCCAATTGCCAGCCCGGGAGCTCGATCGAGCAGTTTTCCAAGCAATAACCTCCTTAAATCTACCGGTCGATGAAAAGGTATTAAATCAACTGATCCCTGGTTGCATATTTTCGTCAAAAATACCAGAAAATTCGATGAGACCCGCTCAACTTGATTTGAAATGATTGGCTATTCAACCGAATACACAGTGCCATATTTGGGTTACTGTTAAAAGTAAATCGTTCGTTTTGTATTCGAGAAGACTTGAATGAAGAGGATTACATAATACTGAGGTAGAAAACATCGGTATAATATGATAATATATATTTCAGAATTTTAAAGTAAAGGCTGTCAAATGAACGGGGCATATTACTGATATTACCTCTAATAAACAAAACCAATAAGCGTATGACTTATTCAGGGCACTTGCAATGTATGGGAACCAGTCTACAAGGCCACAAAATTCCGCCAAGAATGAACAAAGAAATTGCGGGATGTTGTTTACGTGTGTCACTCGACACTGACTGCAAGGTAATGAAAATGTGCTTAATTGTTGTGTATAACTGTTTTCTGTCTTTCAAGATATTGAAACAGTCGTTTAACATTTCAGACGTAACATCTGGGGGGGGGGGGGGGGGGGGAGGGGTCACCTCTTAATAATTTACTGCATCTACTACCACTGTGTATAGTGTCAAGATATAATAAATTAAAATGAAAAAAAATCATTCATTTTTTTTTTTTATAGATTTAGGACAGCTAAATAAAGGGGCGACTATTTTTTGTTTGATGCGGGGGAGGGGGGGGGGGTAAAAATATATTAACCTCAAAAATGTTTAAAAGATATAATCTCATCTCAACTGAAAAAATGATTAATAATCTTTCCTTGTCTGATGCCATTATTTCCTTTACCTCACTGAATTAAGAGTTTCTGGGTCAGTTTATTTCCTTTTGTAGTGGCGATGGGGGGGGGGGGGGGGGGATCAAACTTTGTTCATTTGAGATAAACATGAATAATATGTCCCTGATTATTAAGGAAATCAAATATTCTATTCATCACTGGCTGGAAAATAATTAATCAGACTTAACAGTCAAAAAATTACCTTTTCATAATTTATCTTTTGTAGAAACAAAGAGTGGAGAGCTAATGCATGGTGCTAAGTATGGAAATGTCTCTTGTGGATTGGTTGTGCCAGAGACAAATGTACATTATTTCTATGTTGGGTAATGTCCTTAAGAATGGAAGTTTTTTTCAATTACAAGGGACATGACTTTTTCATATGTTATCACTGTACAGAGATCAAAATATTTTTAAACATTGTTAGGTACTCACTACATTATTCCATCTTTAGAAAAGTATTTAAAATTATTTTCTCACATTTTTTAAAGAGACCAATATTGTGAAGAGATTTTTTTAATTTTAATCTTGAATTTGGATATTATACAGGTCAGAAGTCTCGGTACACTTTGGGTGAGTGGCAGTTGGGAAGATGGAAGACCTTCAGATAGTTTGAGATGAAGAAGTTTTTTTAAATGATTGAAAGTGATCATCATAGAATCAACTCTATTATGAAGATAAATTACGAGCAAGTCAGGTGAGGAATTGACTTCAATGTGTTATCACATTGTGTAAATGAATCTTCATTATTAAGATCTTTTACATTTCATTTTTATATATGAACTTGCTTTTCTATTATTCTAAACTTCCAAAAATAAAATTAAAGTAGTTAAAGCATGCTACAAACATTTTAAGTATCTTGGCAAGTTTTCAGGGATATTGCAGATGTGCTTTAATTTCAAAAGATAACTAATTTATGCAAACCTGGAAAAGAAATGGATGTTATTATCTATAATTTCGAAGATTATGTTTATTATTAGCACTCCTTTTGTCCAACACCCAAGAAATCTGAGTATCCATCCTACTGTTGAATTAACTGGTGACCAAGAAAAGATGACAGAGAGGGGAATCAAATATGGATGCCATTGTGATCAAACATATACACACAGACTAGAAAATATCTGAAAATTTATAGATGAACATTCAAGCATTTATAATAATGAAAGTTATTCAGCAAGAGAGTTTTTGCACAAGTTTAATTTCAGTAAAATTGTGTATATTGTGCACAGAGGAACTTAGTATGTAACTCATTATGATTATCCATTTCTTTAGAGGATGTATTCGGAGTATATTTAAATAATCATTATCTTGTAGAAAAAAGCACACAAAAATTTTCTCTCTGTGTGAAGCAAGACACAAATGCATACACTCAAGCATTAACCACAACCACTGTTACATATTTTCCAGGGCATGTGAAGTCGAGCACACACAACATCTACCACAACACCAGTTACATATTTTCCAAGGCGTGTGAAGTCGAGCACATACATGAAAATGTGTGAAGCTGGACACATATGCAAAAGCACAAGCATCTACCACAACCAATTACATATTTTCCAAGGCGTGTGAAGTCGAGCACATACATGAAAATGTGTGAAGCTGGACACATATGCAAACATACAAGCATCTACCACAACCAATTACATATTTTCCAAGGCGTGTGAAGTTGAGCACATACATGAAAATGTGTGAAGCTGGACACATATGCAAACATACAACATCTACCACAACACCAGTTACATATCTTCCAAGGCGTGTGAAGTCGAGCACATACATGAAAATGTGTGAAGCTGGACACATATGCCAACACACAAGCATCTACCACAACCAATTACATATTTTCCAAGGCGTGTGAAGTCGAGCACATACATGAAAATGTGTGAAGCTGGACACATATGCCAACACACAAGCATCTACCACAACCAATTACAGATTTTCCAAGGCGTGTGAAGTCGAGCACATACAGTACCCGCATCGTTATTCTTTACAGGATACACGATACGATAGGATACACGCACGATACGATAGGATAAACGCACGATACGATAGGATACACGCACGATAGAACAGGATACACGCACGATAGGATAAACGCAAAACACGATAAACGCAAAACACGATAAACGCAAAATACGATAAACGCAAAACACGATAGACCTGATAAACGATCTTCACGATAGGATAAACGCAAAACCTGATAGGATTGTTTCAAAATGCGAAACGTGTTTTGACAAGACGAAAAGTTTCCTTTTTAGTAGTATAATAATTTTAATTACTTACAAAGCCGCATATCTAAATGATAAAATATATTAATTTTATGGTGATAAAACATCTGAAGTAATGATGCTTTGTAAAAGATACATTTTTTCCGTCAATAAAACTGATCGTCATCAAATTCAAACTGTAATTATTTAAGATTAATTCCAATCTATGATGGAAATTAGGCGATTGTTTGTGTAATTATACAAATGTCGAAATTCCATCGAATCGTTAAATTTAAATTCTGAATCGTTTAATTACGGAGATTTTAATTTATAGGTGGCTCAAAAATTCGGTAGACAAGCAAAGTTTTACACCCATGTCAATAGATTCACGAAACACTATAAATATATTCATTATTTTAACAAATAAAACCTTATGAAATTCATAACAAACATTGATTATTTTTACGGAAGAACTCCATGTAAAAAGTGAAATATTTAGATTCAATATCTTGTGCTAGAAGTTTTTTATGTATCCAAAATCGCCTTTAATAATCTGTATTTAATAATTCAAATCTTACAAAAAAAAATTACTTGTCATAATTTTAAAGGGGGGGGGGGATTCGAAAAAAAAAATCATTATTATTATTTAATGTTAATGCTTTCTCCTCAAAGTTTTTACGAACTTGCTTAAATTTATATTTTATATAAATTTTATTTTTATTACGTTTTGAACACATGACTTGCTGAAATTGCTAGTTGCATCGACACAGACTGAGCACTGGACTGTGATTAAATAATCTCTCCTATATATAAATATACATGTTACACATATCCCGTGCACATAGAAAGTATTTACGTATTCCTACATACATTGTATAAAATTATGTATATATGTGGAAGGAGACCGGCCGAAAGAAATCGAATTCAATAAAATTAATAAACGTCACTAGATCTGTCATCATCTAGTATCCGAAAAAAATACCGCATTTCCATTCTTTTGTATTTATTCTCTGGTATTTCTAATGCTATAGGCATGTAAGATTAAGAAGGGAGCATGCAGTCGTATACCTAAAAAAGTTACAGTGTACCAACATGCGTAGTATACAGTAGAAATATAATGATAATATTGCCCATCAACAATAATAATGTCTTCAGCCTCTTTTGTTTGCTTTTCAAAACATTTCTTTTTAGACCCCCGCCCCCAAAGAAATGAAATTGCTTTCTACGCATGCCTGTGCTATAAACATTTACAATAACTGAATTTGAATCTACTATAGACGCATGTATGCTAAGCTTACAATGTATGTGAATATATTTATTGGGTACTTAAACTTTGTATTAAATAATAACATTGAACTATTACATACTCTTGTATACAACATATTAGAACATACACACACATAAAAAAATTATAAATTAATTTCCACAATACGAAAAGTGGATTTTCGGACTGAAGAATTGTAAATTATTGCTATAAGACTTTGTATTAATTGTTACAAAATTTATCTTATATAGAACTACATCGGCAAAATTAGACAAAACTTTGTAATAAATTATGAAAGTCTTAATCCCACTTGAGGCATAGTCAGCGGGGAAGAAGGGGGGTGTTCCATAACCACTCAAAAAAAGATCCAATTCAAAGAGCAAAATAAATAAATAAATAAATAAATAAATAAATAAATAAATAAATAAATAGATAAAAATATATATTGACTTCTTGAACATAGTCAAGTATTAAATGCAATCGATAAACATTAATATTAAATTCAAGGTAAAAACTCGCCTTGTGTATCACGGCAGATCCAGGCGATTTCTTTTAATTTTTTACATGTATCTTTGAGGCGCCTTTTTAATAAGAAAAAAAAATCGTGCGAGGCAAATGTTCGTATTTTTCTGCTAAGAATTATTTACCATATTCTTCGATTAATAGAATGTTTCTTTTTTATT